TTTTCTTTAATGTCAGCATCCAATACTATTTGTCTCTACTGGATTCTTTATACTGGATGGATACTGACTTAATCCCCCTCTTTTGTATGTTATTATATGTTTTAAAATCTCAGTTTATAAAGGTCAGCAAAGAAAGGCAAGATTTCAGAAGTTGCATCATCTGCACTTCTTGTGCTTTCATAAAGCTGTATTTAAAAAGAAAGTCAATGGCATTTTTACTTTTGGCAGATGATTCTACAGGTGTGAGAAACCCTGGGATAGACTGACTTTTGAAAGAATGCAAAGGTAATCATATTGGGCTTGGCATCAATATAGACCAGAAAACAGAACTTGGCTTCACAGAAAACCAGAAAGGCAGCAGCATGGTTGTGGGGTTGTAGCTTCGATTGGGAGAAGATTCTCAATATAATTCTGCTGTTGTGAAGCTATCGACAACAGCCAGTGGGTAAAAATGCTCAGAAGGAAGCCAAGCAGTGAGGCTCATGTAGCAAGGATACATGGAAAGAACAAAGGCATTTGGGGAAGGGATGAGTCTGAAGGTTCTGCTCACCACTGTAGGACTTGGTGGTCTTTCTGTGGTCCCTGGGAGAAAACAGGGAGAGGATTTAGAAAATAAAAACAAGAGACAATAGCTGGGCTCAGGTGGAGTTGTCTCTTACCTGATGGGCAAGAAGACTGAACCACAATAGTAGGGGCATCTATTTATGCCCTTGCAAAGTCTGTATCACGAGAGGAAATGTTGCCTAGCAACTAATGACTGTAACTGTCCAGGCAGGATGTTTTTCTCAAGACTGAGGTAACTTGACTGCTTGAGGCACTCTGGCTCTGTCCTGCCCTCACACATATGACCAATTTCCAGCTCCAGTGGCTCCCAACAACCCACCTGAGCTGCCGATGCTAGCTGGACTTCCTGAACCAGGTGGTGCTAATTACAGGTAATTCCAAGTTACTGCTTATCCCTTCGGAGGCATGTAGGCCTGGTCATCACATCTTTATCTTGAGGCCTGGCCTTCTTTAGATGCACCTCCAGGCACAATTCTGATGTCTTTCTTTTTCTGCTGACTTCCTTGAGAGCCCAGTCCCTGACTATATATTCATTTCTATCTAACTTAGCTGCCTATAACAATTGTATATGTTTACGAGTTAGAGGTATATGGCATGAAAGAGAACACCCATTAGTCACTTGTATGTGTTAAACTTATGTAGTTTTAACTCCATAAGCTTAA